TTTTTTTTGAGTTGGAGTCTCCCTCTATCACCCAGTCAGAAGTGCAGCGGCACGCTCACAGCCACCCATCGATGACCTACTGGGTTCTGGCAATCCTTCCACCTCAGCCTTCCAAGTAGCTGGAACTATAGGTGCATGCTATCACACCTGACTAATTTTTTATTTACTGTAGAGACGAGGTCTCACCAAGTTGCCCGGGCTGGTCTTGAACCCCTGGGCACAGGCAATCCTCTCACCTCAACCTCCCAGAGTGCTGGGATTATAGGCTTGAGCCACTGCGCCTGGCCTGGGTGGCTCTTAATAAGGATATAAAGCATATAAAACTGTTTCTTATTTTGAAATATATGATACATTATTAACTGTAGTCAAATATTGTGCTAAGTCTTCTTTCTTTTAACTGTATTTTTGTACCTGTTAACCATCCCCTCCTAATCTTCCTTTCCCCGTTAACCATCATTCTACCCTTTATCTCCATGAGTTCAAGAATTGGCATGATCCTAACACAAAGAAATGATAAATGTTTGAGATGATGGATATCCCAATTACTCTGACTTACCAACATTATAGAGTATATGTGTGTACCAAAATATAACATGTACCCCCATAAATATGTACAACTGTTCTGTATCCGTAATAATGAAAAATTTCAAAAAATATTTTTCTCCTGGAGCTGTTTCAGTTCCATAGCTTTGCTACTTACATGGGGAATCAAAAATTTAATTTTCTAGTGCTGATTAAAGCTAACTTATAGCTTCTCAAAGCAGTACTATGTGATTGTGGAAGGATGAAAAAAAAAGTTAATAGTATTTATGAGGAAACTAGATATTCTTTGAATGAGAAATTTGTGAGGAAGACTCATTACTTCCTCCCTCTCTCCTTGCACATTTATTGGGTGCTGTGTCTGTGTCTGAATTTCTTTGTAACATCTTCCCAAAATTTTAGTGACTTGAAGCAATAATGACTTATTATTTCTGTTGATTCTGTGGGTTGGCAGTCTGGGTATTTTTTCTGCTGGTTTTATTTATGAACTGGCAGTCATTTAATTCTAGAATAGAGTTTGCACATTCAAGTTATTTCACACATCTGTGTGGCAGTTAGTTTTAGCTGATAGTGGGGGTTCCTTAGTTCTCTTCCACCTCTCATCTTTCAGTAGTTTAGACTGTAATTCTTCTCATCATGGTGTCTTGGATTCCCAAAAGGGAAAGAGTAGAACTTGCAATGCCTCTTAAGCACTAAGCCCAGGGTCTCATACAGTGACATTTCTGCCACATTGTATTAGGCAAAGCAAGTCACAAGACCAGGCAGATTTTAAAAATTGGAGAAAGAGACTCCATTTCTTGGTGGGAAGTAGCAAGGTCACATCACAAAGGGGTGTGGACATGGGAAGGGGTTATTCATTTGTGGTCATTATCATGATCTTCCATAAATGCCCCTGAGTCGGGCACTGTAGTCAGTACTGGTGATGGAAGATAAATAGCTTATTTCAGTATCTTAATTTTTGTTTATATCAGGTAGATAGATAATTATGCAGGTTCACTGTGTACTGGTATATTCCCAGGGGAGGACTCTAAACACTAGCACTAGCATCAATCTACTTGCATGAGTCTGGTGAGATACAACATTCACACAAGTTAAGCAAAGCAAAGCAACTTTATTACTCATAGACAGGCACAAGAGACAACAGAATCCTGAGAATTCATGGTGATCTGGTCTCCTAAGGCTTAGGAAAGCTACCCAGGATGGGTGGAGTCACGTGTGCATGTGTTCCACATTGTTCCACAGCTAAGGGACCCTGAAAGCATACTCTGCCCTGGTTTTATACCTAGGGGCACCTTGACAGGCTAGGCTAAAGCATTGTAGGACATCCTGTTCTGGAAGGGATCGAAACAGGACCTATGTGGTCAGTTCCTCTGTATTTCAGACTGTTGCATTCCCAGCATATTATTCTGCAATTATTCTAAGAACTGCAAATGAGAAATAAAGGAAGAGTTGGTTTGCCAGGGTCTTCCGGAGACTTGTCCTACAATAACATCATATAAGATCTTTTTTCTCATATTCTTCACAATTATTAATTTTAATTGTTCATTTTATAGTTTTGGGAGAATTTTTGCTATTTAGTAAAAGTGGGAAAATCTTAAATGTTTCTGAATGTGTTGACATACAGATATTTGCATAATCCACATAAAGATTATCAATAACGTGAAATATAATAGAAAGTGTAGTATATTAGGTTTGTGTATACTTTGTACATAATTACCTATTTAAGTAATTAATTTTATAAATATCTAAATGTGTCTGTGCCAGGGATTGTTTATATAGCAATAAATAAGATAGAAGTATATCTTATTCTCAGAGAACTTTGATTTTAGTGGCAGAAAATGTAAAATAAATAAATACATTGATGTTAGGTGGTGATAAAAGTGTCTCAAAAATAAATATAAAAGAAAAAAGATCAAGAAACATGGACTAGAGTGTGCTCTCAAAACATTTTATACAGTCTCATTCTCTTATACCAATAATTCTCAATCTATTTCCCAACTGAGTTTGCTAGAAGGCTAGATATATATTCTCCTCGATAATAGTGATGTCTTAAGGCTATGATTCTCTACTGGGTGAGACAAAGATGAAAGACAAATCAGAATAGGAATGGGAATTGGAGATATAAGTACAGTTGACCCTTGAACAGTACAGAGGTTAGGAACACTAACCCCTCATGTAGTCAAGACTCTGCATAGAACTTTTGACCCCTCTCCCATAAAAAGTTTAGTAGCCTGCTGTAGCATATTTTGTATGTTACATGTAGTGTTTACTGTATTCTTACAATGAAGTAAGTTAAAGGAAAGAAAATGTTATTAAGAAAATCATAAGGAAGAGAAAATATATTTACTATTGATTAAAGGAAAGTAGATCATCATAAAGATCTTCATCCTTGCTGCCTTCCTGTTGAGTGGGCTGAGGAGGAGGAAGAGAAAGAGAAGGGATTGGTCTTGCTGTCTCTAGGGGCAAGGCAGAATAAAATCCTCATATAAACAAATCCATGCATTTCAAACCTGTGTTACCTCTGTGTGTTTATCTTATTTAAATGTCCCTGCAAGTAATTCTAACATGCCCTATAGGGAGCTATGCCCATATATCGAGAATTTGTCTCAAGTGATTCTTTGAAGACTATGACCATTAAATATACTTCCGTGAAATCATATTAACTATCTGGGCACTTAATAGCATTAAATTATAGCCTTCTTTTTAATGAATGACATCTTGTACAAAATAACTGTAATGTAAATCTAGTGAACATACAATTCTGATAAAAATAGACTTTTTGCGCTACCTACTGAACATAGGCCTTTTTGAAGGGGAAAAGGCAATAGAAAAATGGAGAAAGATTTATTTTTACCAGTTGATTTGACCTATGAGCATTTTGGTTTGCAAATCCAAACTTATTAAACTATGTATAATTTATAAATGCATAAACTCAAATTTTATATTGATACATTTTTGTATGGGGAAAGTAAATATGAATTAATAAACTTTTTTCTTTTTTACTGGGGAGCTAATAACTTTCTAGAACTGATAATGAAAATTGGTTATGTGAAATTGCATTTCCTTTATGAACTAAAACAAGATATGTGGCCTTATAGCTTCCATTTGCTTAGCCACCAACTGATTGTCTTTTGAGTGGATATTCAAAATGTATTTTTAAATGGAGCGTATAATATTGAAACTAAAGAACATTCAACTTTGTCAGATTACTATAATTATAAATAACCCAGTTTCCACATGCTATCTTTTTATTATAACATGTGCCTGAGAAATTAGCAAATTAAATTTTAGTGTAGGTAGCAGTGTTAAATACTTCTCTCCACATCTGAAACTAATTCTTACATACTCTTATATGGAAATAGACCAGGCTAAGGAATAGTTACTCTGGTTGTGTGTGTATCTTCAAGGCTAGGGGAGAAGTCTAGGGAAGAAGAGAATAAAAAGAATAATGCACTACTAAGGCTCGCCTTACCTTCAGTCTCTACCTTTTCATCTGTCGTGTTTAGAATTGCAAAACTGCCTCTGTGCAAACCTGAATTAAGCAAAGATACATAGCATCTTCCAAGGAATTTGCTGAACACTAGGTTAAACTGGTTTTCTAACCACTGAGACAATATGCCAAATGGTAATAGTTGGAGCTCAACTGAAAAGAATTTCAGTGTAGAAGCTGGAAAGAACCTTAAACATCTTCAAAAATATTATGTATATTCATCTATGTTGCTTTCTTTTGAATAAATGTGGTAACTTCTCTTGCTTGTTGAAGTAATCACTAGAAATACATTTTATGTTTGCCCTTTATTGAAAGAGGAAAATTAGGTACCAAAATTCTGATTGATAAATATTTCAGACAACTCTGATTTAGTTAACTGTAGTTCCTCATTGCAAGAACAGTTTAATTTGTCGCATTTGATTTATCTTAATCATTGAGATACATGAAAAATATAATCAGGTTTTTTAGGCACTAAGTTATTTTGTCTTTTTTACCCCTACTTTCCAGTATTTGTTTTTGGCAACACTCTAGTTTTCCTACATATAGGCAGTTAGCAAATGAATAGCATTTGCTGCTTTATCAAATATTGTCGAGGTTCCCAAAAGGAGTACAATTTTGTCGAAATTTGCCTATATTGGATACTCTGTTAATTAACTAATGGGAGATTTGAGAAAGTTGTCATGGTACAACAGAAAAATATCAGTATTTATTTCATTTTAATTGTAAATGAGTAATTAAACCAGTAGAGTCATGGTAGAGTTTTCAGAAAGTAAAGGAGTAGACATCAATCAAATTCTGGTTCCTTGATAGACTATGTAGAGAGAGTATTAAGGTCTCCCAAATATTTCACAGTGATTAAAAAACCGTCAGTATTAGTAATTTACCCTAATGTCCTAATATGCCGTCATATTGAATTTAAAGCAAGATATTTGACTAATGTTTTCTATTTTTATAAAATGTGTTTGAACAGGAGCCAAGCTCACGGAAAATGTACTTATCTGGATATGGTGTGGAGCTAGCGATTAAGAGTACAGAATACAAAGCATTGGATGATACCCAAGTTAAAAGTAAGTTTTCTATCTCAGAACTTGAGTAGAATGAAAAGATGGAACTTACATACTTTTGTTTTAAAAATAATTAATGAATATATTCCTACATATGTTTATTTGAGGCTGGAGATGGAGTGGACATATTTCTCCTTAGTTTGACATTTGATTTTAAGCTGAAAGAAATATATTTAATATTATTGTGTTTTCAAAGCTTCTTTAAAAATAGGAAATGGTCTATTATTGTGGTTATACTCAATGGCTTCCAAACTGTTTACAGCACCACATAACAAATGAGAGTCTATATAAGGTACAGTAAGGCAATTGACAAGGGTGATTATTGCTTATGTGACTGGCCCAGGAACTCACACTAGCCCATGCTCTGCCCAGCCACCCTAGGAGGTGCCTAAAGAGTCAGTATCTCCATAGATCTCATTGGTGACTCACTAACTTAGGAAGCTTTGTCTAAAATATTTATTTATAATGAAATTAGGATGATAGTTTTATTTTTCTGAAGCATATTGGGAGAAGCCTGTGAATTGTTTGTTTATAATTGTTTAGTAGATTCATTAGATTTGTGATGTACAAACCATTGTCTATTTGTAGTTAATTCTGTGAACTAAATGCGTGATCTAGATGAAGAGACTCTGGAACCCTAAATACACCAAAGAAGTTCTTAGATATCTTACAAAGGTCTCTTATTATGAAATTTGTGTATTCCTGCTTCTTAAGAAGGCTAAGAGTTCTTAATTCATTCCTTTGTATGCATTCAAATGTGTCTCCTGCTTCAACTTGGTTTTCTACTCAGGATGTGGTGTTATGGAGGCCCTTCCTTGATCACAGACTTAGCTTGGGCTGCTCCTTTTGAATGTATCTCAAATAAAGACCTGCATTACTGTAACTTAATTACTTTTGGTTAAAGAGTTACTGAAAAGACATAGTAGAAATAATATCCAGATTTTATATATTTCTGTATAGCTTATATGTAACTTTATAACTTAGTATCTTTGAGATAATAATTAAAAGCATTTTCTAGCTGTCCTTGGACTCATATTAATAGTATTTTATTTAAAAAGTTGTGCAATCACATATGTGTTGTCTATATTATTATTATTATTAATTACACTATAAAAGAGCGATGGGCAGAACAGCAATAAGGGAGCCATATACCTTATCTATATCATTATGCACTGCATTTTGCCATCAGCTTTTTACATACAAGAGGGGACCCCAAAAAAATGGAATTTATTTTTTTAAATGTGTATTTATTTTTACATGGTTAAGTTTCAGTCACCTTCAAGGTACTCTCCATTTGATGCAATACACCTATCAAGATGCTTTTTCCGCCGGGCTCGGTGGCTTAGCCTGTAATCCCGTGCCTTTGGGAGGCTGAGGTGAGTGGATTGCCTGAGCCCGTGGGAACGAGACTTCATCTCTACAATAAATCAAAAAATCAGCTGGGCGTGGTAGTGCATGCCTGTAATTCCGGCTACTTGGAAGGCTGTGGCGGAAGGATCGCCCAAGCCCAGCAGGTCGAGGTTGTGGTGGCCGGAAACGGCACTCCAGTCTGGGTGACAGAGTGAGACTTCAACTCAAAAAAAAAAAAAAAGATGCTTTTTCCATTGCTCTACACAGTTTTTGAAATCATCAATTTTGATGCCATTTAGTGCTTCTGCTGTTTTTTGTTTCACCTCTTTTACATCAACAAAACATTTCCCTTTGAGAACTTTTTTCATCCGGGGAAACAAAAAAACATTACTCAGGGCAAGATCGAGTGGGACACAGGGGTCATGTTGTTTTTGGTCAAAAACTGCTGAACACTCAGCACAGTGTAGGCAGGTGCATTGTCACAGTGGAAGAACCATGCACCTGTTTGCCACAACTTGGGATGTTTCTTCTGAAAATCATGATACAACTTTCACAAAATTTCCAGATAAAAACTTGGGTTGACTGTTTGATCTGGAGGAACAAATTCCAAGTGTACTACAAGGGGTCAGGTGTACTATAGATAATTCTGTTTTTTGGGGCGGTTCCCTCTTCGTATACTTGGAACTTGTACATATATCTTTTCTCAATTCAAGTTTCTGCTCCTTTAATTCAGTTCTCTTTTTCCCCCTCTCTGCCCATGTGTGTCAGACTTTTAACTGTCCATGTCCCTGTCTTTGGTCTTCAGTGTCCTGTCTTCTCACCACCCCCCCAAGTAGATTAATCAATATAATCTCCACAGTTCTTTCGAAATGAACTTCTAATTACGAAAATTTGACTTTGTGACTTTACTGGTTAAAAATCCTTTAGTGGGTCCCTGGAACCTCCTTCATAAATTCCAGTACTATAGCATAGCAAACAAAGCTTTTTGCAGTCTAACTTCTTTCTGACTTACCACTCTCCTTCAGCTCTCTTTTCTTTACAACCTCTTGTTCTGCAGCACGAAACTACTATTCAGAATAATATTCTGTTCCCTGAATGCCTCTGTGCTTGGACTCTGTGAAGCTTTTATGACCTCTACTACTACCAGTTTTTAGCATATTCTGTTCCTTCCACCTACCACCCTCCTCCATTTTCCTGTCTCTGATTTCTTCAAAATCATCCTCATCTTTTAAGGCCTAGGTATGTCAATCTGTGCCTCTGAAATGGCTTCCTATCTTCTTACTACATCAGAAGATGGTTTTCCCTTTTCTGTGTCATATATTTGTGTCATCTTTTAGAAGTTTTATAAACTCCATCAAAGTTTTCTGTTTATTAGTTTCCTTTTTTACCAAGAATGATCTGTGTCTTTTGTGTTTCTTTTCCTGGTGTCTCTTCTGTCATAGACACTTCATAGTAGATGGTCAATAATTGTTTACCCAGTGAATGAATGAATGAATGCACGAATGAACAGGAGGAAAAAGGAGACTAGATCAAAGTCCTCAGGGTTTTTACTTGTAGTACTAGAGATTCAGAGCTTCAGAAGAGTAAGAGGGGAAAGCCTAATTGCTGAGCTCTGACACACTCTGATAGAGGGCAACCCAACAGTACAAGAGATCACAGTTCTTGTAATCCCAAAACATGCTTCACATATTCTACTTACCACACTGTTTATTATTCAAGTGGCTATAAAATATTATATTTTTATTCGTTGAGGCTATGAGTCTTTCTAAGGATTCCTTGGTTATCTTTTATTTTTATTTTAAAGATGTGGGTACACTTCAGGATTAGGTATACAAGTAGTCATCATACAGGTAAAGTTTGAGCCCCTCTTTGGTCCCCACTATGCCTTGTTTGAGATCAGGTACTCTTATTGATGTTACATGCTCCACCCCCTTCCCCTGGCAGGTTCCAGCTACGGCCAATCCCTTTCTTATAGTATTATGCTAAATGTTCAGGGTCCACTTATGAGTGAGAGCATGGACAGATTTAGAGACTATAATACTCAGAGATCTATCACAGAAACAAAACTGAATACTACATGTTCTCCTTAGTTATTTTAAAGGTGTTGGAAATAGGCAAGAACTTATGTTTGTTAGTCTTTGAATCTTCCACCTGCCTGTAAAGCTAACAAACAGCATATGTTGCAGGCCCTTTAGCTTATCATTTCTGGTTATAAAATAGAATTTGACTGTGAAATAATCTATAAAGCATTTTATTATGGTTATTAAATATTTTTTAATGAATTCAAGCATCTTTAAAAAGAGAGTGCACACAGAGGAATACAAGTTTGAACACTTGCATGTATATGTGTTAAGCAGGTCCATAAAAGAAAAACAAGGTTAAAACAAATGGAATTTCATATTGTAAGTTCTGATTTTTAATGACATGTTTTTTCCCAGTCTGAAAATATTTTTGTTTCATTTTCAAAATATAGCTGTGACTAATACTTCTGTAGAAGATGAGACTGAAGTAAATGAAGTTCAAGGATTTCTCTTTGGGAAACTAAAGTAAGTCTGAATTGAAATAAATTCAATTGAATTTAATTTTAAAGACTTGAATTTAATTTTAAAGGAATTTGTGGGCTGTTTTGTCATACATTCACTTTTTTTAATAGACATACACTTGTTTTTATTTATTACAAAACCAAAACATAGCTAATGTCAGAAAAGCACAAAATAATCACCATTAGTTTAACAACTGAGAAGTAATTGTTACTCATGTTTTGATGTACAGTATATTTTTCCAATTATTCTGTGCATATTTTATAGCAACAAACAATGCACACACAGTATGTTGTTTTGTACAGTGGAGCCATATAATGCAACCGCTTTTTTCACATCATGTGGGATATTCTGTCTTTTACTGAAACTGCTCTATAGAACTTGACTTGAAATTATTTTTCTACTTTCTCATTGAATTTTTTTGTGCATCAATTTGTATTTCAGATTTTCCTTAGCACAAATTTTAGGGAAGAAAAAGGTAAATCAAGGGATTCATACTTCTTTTTGACACATACTTCCAAATTTCATTCATAAAATTATACTCATGAACATTTGCTCCAGTATGTGAATGTGTCCATTTCCCAGAACTTTACTGACCACTCATAGGAATTTTTAAGTGTTTGTCAGCCTAATAGGTAAAATGGTTTTGTTTTTTAGATTCTGCATTTATTTCACTGACTGAACCATTTTGTAATTTGTATTCCTGAATAGTCAACTACTGGCAGTTTATTATTGCAACGATTAACTTTTTTTTTTAATGTTTATTGGCCTTTGGGTTTATTTTCAGATAAATTGTTTATTCCCAACCTGTGCTCATTTTTTCTTGCTGTGTGTCCTTTCTTTACTAATTTGCAATGGCTCTTTATATACTGAAAAATCTGAACCCATTGCCATATTTGCCATATGTTGAATTATTTACTGTTGATGTTTATTTTCACATTAATTTAAAAATAGAATTTTTTTCATTAGTTAGATATAACTGTTATGTTTAAATTGAGACTTAAGTTTAAATTTCTAAAACTTAGGTAGCATCCCTGGGAATACTAGAAAAATTGAAATTTAAAACTTTTGAGAACTTTGGTAGGTCACTGTTAAATATGCAGCTCTTTCTCCTTTTACTCAGAATAAATTGTCCCGTTAAAAAACGTTTAACATTTAAGGAATTGGCTAAACCTTGAAAACGTGAAACAATAGGTTGGGTGTAGAGACTGACTCCTAGAATTTCAGTGCTTTGGCAGGCCAAGGTGAAAGAGTTCCTTTAGGCTGAGACTAGCCTGGGTGACATAGTAAGATGCCCTTCTCTAAAATAAAAAATAAAAAAAATTAGTCGGGCATGGTGGCACATGCCTGTAGTAGTCTCAACTACCTTATAGACTGAGGCATGAGGATCACTGGAATCCAGAAGTTTGATGCTGTAGTGAACTACCACCATGCCACTGCACTTTAGCCTAGGCAGCAGAGCAACAAGACCCTGTCATAAAGAAAAAAATAAATTGTCAAATATCAGCGTTGTAGCATTTTTTTAATCCTGTTCTTCATTTGTACTATATGGCACTATCACCATATGAATTATGATTTCCATACTTGAAAGTAGTAACTGGTTTTGCTTAAGTCCATTCAAACAGAGCTATTATAAAAGTCAGGGAAATAATTAGTGTTATATATACTTGCTTAGAAAATTTCTAAATTTGAAGGGAATAAATAATGTAATTTAGTAATAAAGTGCTTGCAGAAGTTCATGGTGTATAGTAAACATTATGTAAGTGTTAAACATGAATACAAATGTGAAAATTAAATTATCAAGTTATTATTTGTTAAAATAGTCTCTTAAAATAGTACCAAGAAAAAGTTGCTACCCAAATTAAATATCTTTTGAGGAAAAAAACTAAGTAAAATATTTTATTTTTTAAAATAAATTTTCTAGTAATACTAATGTTAAGTAATATTTACTATTTTAAATTCAGTGATACTTTTGTTCTGTTTTTTATATACTAATTTGGCAAGCTGTAGTTAATACTTTTTCTTTCTTTATTAAGGCAATTCTAATACTTCTGACATTCATAAAATATCAGATAAATTTAAAATTACTTTTTTAAATTTTTTTGAGTTGGAGTCTCACTCTGTCACCCAGACTGGAGTGCAGTGGCCGCTCCCAGCCACCACAGCCTCGACCTGCTGGGCTCCGGCGATCCTTCTGCTCAGCCTTCCAAGTAGCTAGAACTATAGGCACGTGCTACCACGCCCGGCTAATTTTTGATTTATTGTAGAGATGAGGTCTCACAAGTTGCCCAGGCAGGTCTCGAACCCACGGGCTCAGGCAATCCACTCACCTCAGCCTCCCAAAGCGTGCTTAAAAAAAGTTGAATTGAAAAAGTTATCTCTGGCAGAAAACTAAAACAAAACTTTATAGAATCTAAAACTTTACAGATCTAATGGGTTCAAAAAAATCAGTGAAAATGTTGAACTCTAGCTTGAAGAAATGTATCCACAAAAGAAGAGAAAATATTGATTTCCTTAAATTTCTGTGCCACAGATCACCATTTCATATACACATTTAAGTAGCCTTTCAACAATTAAAGTTGTCCCCCTTTTTTCCATGCCTCGCGAATTAGAGACAAGGAATAGAATGGTGAGTGCTCTGAATACTCTTGAATGGGGATGGCTGTAATTTCATGTGCTCTTTTCTTTATTTACAAGAAGGAAGAGTTTATGACTTCTTTAAATGGCAAAATTAATTAAAGGAATGTTAACACCTTTAATTGTTTAGTAGTGCAATTATTTATAAAGGATTCTAAGGTTGGTTCTTTTGGTGATGAGCAGATACTTGTGTAGAGGAGGGGTAGTTTTTTGAGACTATACCAATCAATATAGATAACTGAATTATATATTTAAAGTATATTTTCCAAACAGTATACTAGTGGTCTTAAAAAGTTAATATATCTTACAAAATGGATTTATTCTAGGCAAGGTATTTATTTAGTAGCTAATCATACATTTTTATCCTGTTTGCAGCTGTGTTTCAATGTTATGGAATCCATAATCCTTGTCTCCTTTAAATATAACATTTATGGGATTAATTTGCATGTCCTCCAAAAATTCTTTTGAACTCTAGGTTATTTGTTTTTAAAAGAGGGAATGCTCAATCCATTCTTCCATAGTGACTCAGTTGATTGCTCATTTTGTAGCAAAAATCCTTTGAGGTAGTATGTGAATAATACACATGTTACCTAAATTGTGTGAAAAATTTTAGTGGTGAAAATTATCATGACTCTGATTAAATAGGAAGAATATACTTATTATCCTGTAACTTAAAATATTGAAAAAGGAAGTGTTAGTTTAATGCATGGTGAACTTCTTTTAGGAAAAAATGCTATTGTGCTTTTACTTGAGAGAAATCTTATTCCTAATCTGTTTTCAATATGTAGTCCCACATTGAATAAACCTGCAAGATATTGGCACGGTTGTATGTATGTTTTTTACTATAAAATTAATGCATTTCTGTATCTATATTCTGTATATATTTTTCTTTTTTTCACTGAGATATGCAGTGCAAAGTACACTTTTTGTTACACTTTTTAAAATCTTTGTTTCTATTGACTATTTTTTAATTTTAAAGACGTGTGGGGTACAATTTAGGGTTAGGTATACAAATGATCATTGTACAGATAAATGAAAATATGTGTTTTATAAGTCGTGCTGTTATCTAGATAAAGTTTAAAAAAAAAAAAAGAATCCTATTTAAATCTGAAATGGTACCATGTCTTGATTTCATGAGTGATAGACAATAGAGGAAAGAAGAGTATAGTTTATATTATAGTATAGGAAAGTGCCATTCATTATCAATATAATCACTATTATTTCCCTTACTATAAAAGATCCCAAGATATGTTTATGGGCAAAATTTATTTTTTTTCAGTTTTTTTATAGGAATCAAAGATGGAACATTTCAAAAATAAACTCTAAGATTGTAGAAGAAGCATTTTTGTCTTTTCTTATAAAATAGTGCTTTTTTAAATTATGAAAGCAATGCTTTTAACTTATAAAATGTTTAAAAAGTAATAACATAAAAACTGATAATTCTGCCCTCATGCCTATAATTCTTACAGGTAATGTTAACAATTAAGAGTATATTCCTCCAGATTTTGTTTTGTTTTATATATTTTATTTTATTTATTTATTTATTTAATTAATTAATTTATTTATTTATTTTTTGAGTTGGAGTCTCACTCTGTCGCCCAGACTGGAGTGCAGTGGCACGCTCCCGGCCACTGCAGCCTCGACCTGCTGGGCTCTGGCGATCCTTCCGCCTCAGCCTTACAAGTAGCTGGAACTGTGGGTGCACGCTACCACACCCGGCTAATTTTTGATTTATTGTAGACATGAGGTCTTGCCAAGTTGCCCAGGTGGTTCTCAAACCCTCGGGCTCAGGCAATTCATTCACCTTGGCCTCCCAAAGCGCGGGATTACAGGCTGAGCCACCGAGCCCGGCCTGTTTTATATATTTTAAAAAGAAGATATATATATATCTCCCTTTTTATTTTTAAGTTCTGTGGATTTAGCTGTATCGCAATTTACATTCTCTTAATGATAAATTATTAGTTTGTATCTATTTGGAAGAATTAATTTCAAAAATACATTTTATAATGATTTGTGGAATGTTATGCTGATTAACATTGCCTGATATTCTGATGCAGAGAATTATATTCAGATCTTAGAGATAATCTGACAGCATTCCAAAAATACCTGATTGAGAGTAACAAAGAAATGATGCCTCTGAAAATCTGGGAACTACAAGGTATAGTAATTTAAGCTACTTTAGCACATCATTTTGGTAACCCATCTCTGTTCTGTTAAATAAGCTTTTATATAGTGTGATATGGATTATTTTATAGATTATAACTTCTAATGATGTGAATAATATAAATTATGACATTTTTGTGGAATAAATATTTAGAGATCATCTATCAAGCAAGACGTATTTTTATATTTGTAAGACATAAAATTACATGACGTGTAGTTATTTGATATTATTAGTTTTTAAAGTATGCACTGAATTATCTTATAGGTTGCTTTCAAATATTAAATATTTCAGAGAATAAAAAATCCTGACTATTAGCTCAAGAGAAATTAGAACTAAATCTTCATTTTCTTTTCTTTTAAGTTTAGATCCTGTTAGATCATTGCATGTTTTACTGATAAAATTTTAATGAAAACAACAAACAAGAGAATATGCAGTTTTTACAAACCTAGAACAGCTTCTGTGCTTAGTAGCTACTAGCAAATATTTTGTAACTAAAGTTTAAAAACTGATAATTCTGCCCTCATGCCTATGTTTCTTATAGGTAGTGTTAACAATTAAGTGTATATTCCTCCAGATGTTGTTTTGTTTTATATATTTTAAAAAGGGGACATATATATTTCCCTTTTTATTTTTAAGTGCTGTGGATTTAATTGTATCAGTTTTGGATTGAGCTATAAGTCCTTTTCAGTTTGTAGTTTTTCTTCTTTACTATTTGTAATGATTTAGTAGGTCGAGGGACATGTCATTTTTCTACATAATTTATGACTTTTGTCAGATCTCTTATCAACCATTTTAAATAGAACAATTCCATTAAGATATAATTCACATACTATTTAGTTCACCCATTTAAATTCTGCCATTCAATGGTTTTTATTTAGTACAGAGTTCTGCAACTGTTACCACAGTTAATTCTAAAACATTTTTACCTGACGTGCTTATTGGCAGTCACTCCTCATTTGTAGGCAACCATCAATCTACTTTCTATTTTTAAAATAACAACTAAGAGGATGCTTTTGCCAGAATAACTTACATATAACATGCAAACAAAATTTTACATTTTGTGGGGAATATAGTTTACAGGGTCCTTTCATATAAACTACTTTATTTGACCCTCACAATAAGATTCTGAAGTACGCCAGACACAGTGACTCATGCCTGTAATCCCAGCACTTTGGGAGACTGAGACAAGAGGATTGCCTAAGCCTAGGGGTTCAGGACCAGCCAGGACAACTTGACAAGACCTCGTCTCTATAATACGTTAAATCATTAGCTGGGCATGGTGGCATACACCTGTAGTTCCAGCTATTTGGAAGGCTGAAGGATCGCCTGAGTCCAGCAAGTCAAGGCTGCAGTGGCTGTGAGCATGCCACTGCACTCCAGCCTGGGTGACAGAGTGAGACTCTGACTCAGAAAAAAAGAAAAAAATAAAAGATTCTGAAGTAGATGAACTGCTTCCCCCCATTTTTTAATTAAGAAAAATGAAATTTAGTGATTTGATTTGCCAGTTACCACATTGCTAATGAATGAAGGTTTTGGGGCCCACGTTACATTCTATATGCTATACGATATGGTATCTAGGTGAACTTTACACACACACACATACACACAACACACACACACACACACACACACACTTAACAGATCTTTGAGTATCGAATTTTAAAATTATAGAAGAATGTGAAAATCATAGTCTATAAAGGTTCTCTAACTTCTGCTATACTTTACCTATCTGATACAAGTGTTCTACTAAATAAACACTTTACCACTACTTAACAGAAAATCATTTAACAGAATGAGGTGTTTAAGAACATTGTGGCCAGGCACATTGGCTCAAGTCTGTAATCCCAGCACTTTGGAAGGCTAAAGCAAGAGGATTGCTTGAGACCAGGAGTATGAGACCAGTCTGGGCAACATAGTGAAACCCTATCTCAAATAAAACAAAACATTGTAATGATAAATTCACTGTAAAGAATCTACCTTTTGAACTGATAGAACCTATTCTCATAGACCACTCTGTTGTGCCGTTTTCTATTTACTCTCTCTTTTGCCTTATCCAGACCTCATGCTTGATTCTCCTTTCATTACACCACAGCCATTGAGACTGTTCTTCCATGTGACATAATACTAAACTAAGGCAATAGACTCAAATCCATTCCTGATAAGCATACTAGGATGAAAACCTGATTTTTTTCCTTGTGTAAAATCAGCCAAAATTGATCACTTATCAACTCTTGATCAAATAACAGTCTTATATTAGTCCCTACAGGAAGATGTTGGCACATGTAAACTGAGCAAGTTCAATAAAGGGATTTTTACAAAGACATAGGCATAGTTAAAGGAAACCAACAAAGAATGAATTCTTCCATCCCAGTGCTAGCAATTAAAGGGAAACCTTTACTACTCCTAATTTTGAAGGAGCAAAAGGAGGGAGTGATTACCAAAACCTAGGCAGAATGTATGGAGAGAGCTGCCTGACAGAGCATTAGCACCCGGTAAAGGGACATGGCTTTCCCTCTCTGACCTGAGGAGAGAGCTGAATAATAACTATCCAGTCCTTATCTTACTTGCTAATTTCACATCCATGACTTGGGTTGGCTGAATCTAACCATAGGTTTTGGGGCTAGGGAACCTATTGATTCAGTTCATATAGGTCAGCCTTTTGAGGCTCAGAGCAGGATGGAATGCAGTGGACTTGGAGAGCAAACAAAATAACCAGCTCAATCATCTTTTTAAAAAATATATATTTTAAAGATGTGGAGTACAATTCAAGATTAGGTATATACGTGGACTTCATACAGGTAAAGTTTGGGCTTCCCTTTGGTCTCCTCTTTGCCTTGTTTGAGACCAGGTACCCTTATAGCTTAGTCATCTTACCTGAGAAAGTTACCCTGTTTTTTGAAAGCAAACACTTCAGAAAAGACTTGACTATAATTACAGAGGGGTTGATTACCTAGCTAGCCAAATCATTTGCAACACTTCTTGCTAAAGGACTGATTTCATGCATGACAATTAAAAGTATTAAGTCCAAGCTCTTCTTGTGAAGCTCTTCTCTAAACCCAGCAGTTTATATTACCAAATCTATAACTTTAGATAATATCTTTTCAGTAACTGCAGTTTTCTTTTGTTTAGATTGTTTTATGCCTCTAAGCACTTATTTAAGTCTCCTTCAAAGTGTTCTTCAAGGGGACCTTGCCTAATTTAGAAAATTGTGAGCGATGGGATGTTTTTGAAGACCTTTAAGCAAAGAGAATGCATAATCAGCTTAAATTGCCTCCCTAATGTTTGTGTAAGATATATTTGAATGGAGTAGTACAGGGGATATCTAGTTAGACATCATTGACATAGCATAATGAAAGATTATAACAGTGGTAGAAAGCATAGAAATGGAACTTGGACTTGGTAGACATGTAGGCGGTGAAAAGGAGTCAAAGATGACTCTAAGATTTTTAGCTCTGAGCCTGAGTAGAGAAATATAAAACATGTAAATAGGTTTTGGGGTTGAATAAGGGGGCCAGAAGTAATGAGAACAGTGTTGAAAGACTGATTTTATAGCAGTTATAAGATATTTGGGTGATTAGGTTCAGTAGTAGGGTGAATATACTGCCCTTAACTGAAAGGGGAAGATTGAAAATGTTGAAAATCTTGGCATAAAGATTTTTAAATGTAGAGGGTGCTGATTTAGAATATAAAATGACAAAATCAGTACATCAGGGAGAGTGCCCTGGTGTTCATCCACATGTAGAAAGTAAAGCCCATGAAGAAGACATGGTGGAATGGTGAGAAATGGAGAGCACGTTATAGAGACTAAAGGAAATTGATTCTTTTTTTTTTTCTTTTTGAGTTGGAGTCTCACTCTGTCAACCAGACTGGAGTGCAGTGGCCGCTCCCGGCCACTGCAGCCTCGACCTGCTGGGCTCCGGCGATCCTTCCGCCTCGGCCTTCCAAGTAGCCGGAATTACAGACGCGCGCTACCACGTCCGGCTGATTTTTTGATTTATTGTAGAGATGAGGTCTCCAACTGCCCAGGCGGGTCTCGAACCCCTGGGCTCAGGCAATCCACTAACCTCAGCCTCCCAAAGGCGCGGGATTACAGGTTGAGCCGCCAAGCCCGGCTATTCTTTTTATTTTTTTCAAAGAGAAAATGATCAGGACTTTATATTTGCAGGAAGTGGTCCTATTGCAAAAATATCCTAGTAAAATAAGAATTGAAAAATATCTGTTGTGTTTGGCATAGGAGATATTAGTGAGCATTGGTAGTAATTTCAGTGCAGTACTGGGACTGGAAACATGTTGAGGTGGGTGGAGGACATTCTGTTTAAAGTTACTCAGCTAATTTGTGATAGAGCTGGACTTTAAAGCCTGGTCTGTTAGATGCCACATTCCGTCGGATGCTACCTTAATGTAGTCTTTTTACAGACTTTGACTGTAGACTGATTAGTCTTTGCACACTGAGAACTTAGGAACAAAACTAACCTTGTTAGGCCTTGTTAAACTGGTTATTTTACTAGTGTTTGATAAAGTAGGATTCCACCTCCAGTGAAATGTTAAAGCGAAGCAAGCTGCTTCACTGTCAGGTAATGAAATAATTCATTTTTAAATTTTTTCTGATTCTTGACATAGTAATAAGACTAAGATTACTGCTTGTGACGTATTTGAGACTGACTGTAGTTAGCCATACAACATTATTCTTTCTATAGAGCTGTCATTTCAGATAAAATAATATTAAGTTTAGGATTTTTTTATTTCAGCATAAAGGTAAAACGGAGTTGAAAGAGAAAGTGAATGTTTCTATTTATTGAGTTAAACACTCAGTTTTTCTTAAGGTCTTGGTTTTTTTCCCCCTAAGCTTTTTCTCCCCTCTTTGTTATTTTTAACAAAGCTTTTTATCATATGTTTCATTTAGCTTTAATATTTAAAAAAATAGCTTTTGTGAACATATTTTAAAATATATCTCTCTTTTGAAATTATACTGTAATTTGTGGAAAACAAATAATAGGTATTATACGATAATTATTCCTTCATAAAACTGTAAAGCTTATCTTAACTTGATATAAGTAATAACTTCCCATTTTAAAAGTTTTTCATTTAAGCAATGCTAACTATAACAGTGTTAACTTATTTATATATGACTATATGAAGAAGGATTGAGTTAATTATTTAAGTTACTTGGAAATGTCTGTAAGGGTTTAACATAATGCTGGATTCTTAATGATTTATTTTTCTCCTAGATCTTAGTTTTCAAGCAGCTTCTCTAATAATGTCCACTCCAGTTTATGATGCCATTAAATTAATGAAAGACATTTCACAGAACTTCCCCATAAAAGCCAGGTATGTTAAAGTTTATTGATTTAATTGTAGCCAGAACTCTGTTAAATGACTTTTATGAAAATAACTGTAACATGAAGATATCAATTATCTCTAGTATATGTTGCTTTATGAAATCAGGGCCTCTCTTCATTAGGTATGTTGGTTTTTTTAATTAGAACAAAATACTGTCTTGTACATGCATGTGTATATGCACTACAAGGTGGAACTCAAATTAGAGGCAAGTGGAAAGGAAAGATATTTACAAAAAAAGTTTTCAATCATGCATGCTAATCTAAGAAAATATTTATTCAAGCAGTAAATAATGATGGAGTACTTTTTTCCTTTTCCTTGTGGAAGGTGATGACAAGTATTATTCTAAATAAAAGGCGTATGCTCCAAGTACTGCCAAATCATATTTTGCCCTTTTAGGTCCCAAATGATTAGTAATTCCTTAGTTTTATGGAATATTATGTGAGATACTTTTTTGCCAGTAGGATATCTAGTTGAACTGCTTACAGAAATACTGATGTTACATGAATATATCTTCTGTTTCAGTAGGAGATACATTTGCGTATCTAAAAGAGACCAATGTATATCATTCAAGTTACCGTCTACTATGAAAATTTACAAAATGGCATTACTTTGATGTATCTGTATTCTGGTTTAGAATGGCAGAATATAAAATTAAAAGCAACAAGTAAAATATAAAATAAGTTAGCTTATATTGAAGAGATAAATTGTGTAACACATCACAAATGCACATGTAACTATATAGAGAGGAAGTGGAAAGCAACCTGTGCTCTCAGCATACCTCTTAAACATCGGGCAATTGCTATGCTTCTTATTGTCTCCAACAGTATCTTATATATTTATTCAGAGTGAAAATGACAGAATCTTAAATCTATTCAAATAGTCAAGAATCTGATAAGTCAGTATTTATGTACTAAAACATGAACTATATATGGGTACATATGCACACCATATATGTTTGCTGTGCTGCTATTAATGAATGGTAGTTTCTAAAACTATCAGATCAAATACAAATAAAGTAAAATAATTTTAGTGTTTACTAGACATTTGATTAGCTCTGTTGAAGTTGTCAGTACAACTATTCAGGAGTTCTGGTGCTAAACTCTGCTCTTAATCTGTAATCATCATTAAGAAAAATTTGTAAAATATGCTAACATTGCTTAGTGGCTACATTGTAGGCTTGAGCATATCTCTCAAGTCACTTGGTAGATAATCGGTAAATGTTTGCTGAAATGAAATATTTGCTAAATGAATGAAAATTTTGCATTAAGTTTTCAGTTGTTTCTCTCAGTGCTGTCAAATGTTAGGAGATAATACATAATTATTGTGGGCTATTTCTGTATGAGTTTTCCTTAAAGCAGAGATTTGCATTAACAACCTCTCAGTTCTTAAATCACTTTATTCTGTTCATAAAATTGACAGATCTATAACTCATTAAGCATTCTCAGGAGTTATCAAGTTGAATACAGTACATAGGAACTGAATTTTTAAAATTTTTGCCATCTTTAAGTTATAGGGGAATTATAAACTCTTCAAGAATGAATAATGTAAAGTCAGTATTGTCAGTTTCTTACTATGGTATGATCCCAGGTTAACAAAAATTTTTTATGTACAAATATTCTGAAGGTGGTTTGCATTTATACGTATGATGGCATTGGTAATTTCATACAAAATTTCTCTAAAATGGGCAAAACAACAGAAAATATCTTTTTTAATCAAGAATTTTGAAAAATAACTAGTGCTAAACAAGCTATGGCAATCTCTACTGCATACAGTTAGTGCTCATGAAAGTTTGAGAGTCTGAATTCCACTGTAAATCAAATACTTTTGTCAAATGAAAGCCATAGTACCGTTGTCAAATTAGGCTATATGGAAATGTGTACTTTTCAGCATGAAGCATTTGGGATTTTTAGTTTCTTATCCAAAGTATTATATTACATTGAATTATTAATTAATCTTAAACATTTAAGGAAGAAGGAACTATATTAGTATTTACTTTTCCAGATTTCTGTCCAGAATTGCTGTAAATCAACATATGAGAGAGGAAATAAAGGAAAATCAAAGGGTATGTTTGGATTCCTTTTTTAAAAAAAATTGAACCTACTAATATCACTATTTCTGACTTTGGATCTTCAATTTTTATATAAAATAAAAAACTAATTTGTAATTTTTTATTATTAAAAGTCTAGGTTCCTCCATTTTTATATAGTCTACTGTATGAACATTTAGTCTTTGATTCTAGCCAATCTTTTTTGACATATCTTCTACTTACTTCACTCAGTAATTCCAGACTTTTTTGCCCATGTAATATGGTTTTAGTCACAGGATAAGGAATTAGGAGTTAATTATTATGTTTCTAATAATTAGTCTTACTGAAAAGCTTGTGAGGACTGAGTCAATGTTAAACCACTCAAACATTACTGAAATCCTTTAGCAGATAGAACGCAATTGATCAGTAGTTTGATAAGATTCTGCTGAATGGTCTCTTAAATTCCCTATAACCCCCAAATGATCCTAATTGTGTTAATACTTGTAAAGTATATAAACCGCTGCCTGGCTTTATTACATAGGACTGGTTTGGTTTTAGGTGGTGTAATACCAGACTCACAGTGCCCTAATCAGTGGGAGTTTATTTTTCACTTCTTATTTGTATTCAAAACTGAAAGAAGCAGGAGGAATGGTACCAGCCACATTCATTTTCAGTAAATCGTTCCTGGAACAATTTGGCAGACTGGCTTTTATCTCATTGGCAAGGATTTTGTCATGTGCTCATTCCTAGCTGCAAGGGAAGCTAATAAAGCTAGTGTTTACTTTTCTAGTAATCAAAACAAGTAGAGGCGAAGTGGGATAGGTATGGTGCTAAGTTAGCCAACCAACAGTGTTTGTCACACTGAGACAGAGTGATGTGTCATAAATGCCAGACAACAACAATGATAATGATGAAGAAGATGAATAGTTTACTGGGGCATAGATGTTAGGAACCACAGCACATCATTTCTACCTGCAACATTCTTTGCCTCACTGGCCACCTTACAAATTCCTGTTTATTTGTCAAAATAGTTGGAGAATTGGTCCTTTCTATAATTTTTCTAATTACTCTCACCATTCTTTATGCAGAATGGATTGTTTTATTATGATGTCTTTGTGTAATGCCACCTTCAATAAGAAGGAAGAGAGGGTGAGGAAGAAAAGGAAGGAAAAATAAATGAATGCCAGATTGTCAGTAGCTTTACACAGTTGAATTTGTGTGTGTGTGTGTGTGTGTGTGTGTGTGTGTGTGTGTGTGTGTGTGTGTGTCTCATTTAACAGCCCAAAGTGGGTGTTCCTGGTCATCAGATCTTTCTTCCATGTGGTACTCTGGGTCCAGAGACTGAAGGAGTTCATGAGGTTAAAAAGGAGATGTTGTGGGAATAAAAGAGAGAAATAATTGGAAGGACCGAAGATTACATATCATCGAATGGGATCATTTAAAAGACAAGCAATATCTGTTGGTGGCTAAGTGAAGAAAAAAAGTGATTGGTGATCAGCCTAATATTTGAGAATATGAGAAAGACTGGTTACGTTAGGTTACCCAACTTAAACTTTGGTTACTATAAGAAACCTTCAAGCTGAGAAATCTAGAAAGTAAATTTTGTCCCTTGTATACCAAAATAGTGTCTCCTGCTAATATCTGTTCTAAGAAAATCTAACCTGTTTGTATATGGTTTATCAAAAAAGTGAAACTACTATATCCATTTAAAGAGCCTACTGTATAAGTTGGGGGGGGAGTAACAGTACTCTGAAGATGAAGAAATGTCACTAAGCAGAAGAATATTGCAACACAGAATTTGGAAATGCACTTAAAAAGTTAATGGATCTGAGTAGAAACACTCAATGCATACATGCAGTAACTGAAAGTTAAGATGGGCAGACAATAGGAGGTGATGCCCAAACAAGGGGGTATAAAATCACAACTGGTAAGAACTTTGCAAAGGTATAGAAAGTAAAGATAAAACTAAAATAACAAGTGATGTGAGGGAGAACTGACTTTTTAGAGAATAGAGAAGACATAGTAGCTGGAAATAATAGAAAATAAACAGAAATGAAGGAAGAATTCAAGAGAAAAGTGATAGATAAAAAACAAAAGATATCCAACATACCTACACTGATGTCCCTGAAATAGAAAAAAAGACAAATGAACAGAACAAATGTTTACAACTACAATATAACATTTTTAAAAAATAAGACAGGGTGTGGTGGTTCACATCTCTAATTCCAGTGCTTTGGAAGGTCAGGGTGGGAGGACTGCTTGAGACCAGGAATTCAAGACAGTCTGGGCACCATAGCAAGACCCTGTCTCTACAAAAACTAAAAAACTTAGCACTGTAGCATACACCTGTAGTTCCAGCTACTCAAGAGACTGAGTTGAGAAAATCACCTGAGGTTATAGTGAACTGTGATTGTATCACTATACTCTAACCTGAGTGACCGAATAAGATTGTGTCTCTTAAATAAATTAATTGAAAACATTCAAGAGAAGCCTCAGATCCAAACATGAAAAGGTGTACTTGGAAAATTGTAACTTGGAAAATTGACCTGGAATGAAAGACATAAACCTGTATAGGGAATAATCTTTGCATTTGGTAAAAAGGATCATAAGAAAAGAAAATCAGATTGGCAACAGGCTTCTCAAAAACAACATTCAACAACAAGAAACAATAGAGTTCCACCTACAAAATATTCAGTGATAGAAAAACTCTCTAGCCAGGCACAGTGGCTCATGCCTGTAATCTCATACTTTGGAAGGTAGAGGTGAGAGGATTGCCTGAGCCCACGAATTTGAGACCAGCCTTAGCAACATGGCAAGACCTCATCTCTACAATAAATCAAAAAATTAGCAGGTCATGGTGGCACATGCCTGTAGTTCCAGCTATTTGGAAGGCTGAGACGGAAGGACCACCTGAGCCCAGCAGGTCAAGGCTGCAGTGGCTGTGAGCGTGCCACTGCACTCTAGCCTGAGTGACAAAGTGAGACTCTGACTCAAAAAAACATAAGAAAAAAAATAAAGAAAAACTGTCCCTTCAGCTATCTTTCAGATAGACATATGTATACAGACTACAGAGAATATTGAATATCAAGAATTCAGGGACTATTCCGCCCAAGATCACTTTCTGAAGAATTTTTTCTAACTAAGAACTAATTGAGGGCACTGTGACAAAATAACTGGCTATTGAATATGTTTAAATGTAGAGGTAACAGAAGGGGTATTGAATGGTGCAGTATGTAAACAGTCCAACCCTGAAATTATGAAATATTCCAACTAATGATAATGGGGAGAAGGTAGAAAGAATAAATATGCTGATTGCCCTGTCATACTTGAGAATCAAAGGATATGATTTAAAGCTGAAAAGGCAATCAGAGGAAGCCTAATAACATTTAAAAATACATAGTTAATCATAGTGAAAATATGGGATAGAAGATTGACAGTTGAAACTAACCATATCTGTAATAGCAATAGATGCATACAAGTTCAACTACATTAACAAAAATTTTGTTTGGATTATTAGGCAAAATCTCATTTATATGAAATAAAAACTTTTCAAGTGATTCACAAATGTTAAAGATGAAAGGTACATATGTCAGGTAAATACTGTGTTGCAGGAGTGGTGATCTTAATATTATGGAGCCAGACTCAGCCCTAAAAACATTAAGGAGCAAAAAAGTAGTCTTTTATAATAATTATCTGTTTTTATATTCATCAAAAGAAGAGCAGCATTCATTCATAAAACAAACTGCAGATGATGAAAGAAGGAATACATTTCACCTCTGTGCAAGACTGATGAGAAGTAGTCAAAAAACAAGTAAATATACGAAGGGGGACCAAAAAGACGAACATTTTCTTTTGGATGGTAGGCCCCTTCTAGTGCACTTGGAGTTTTTTCCTCCGGATCAAACAGTCAACCCAAGTTTTTATCTGGAATTTTTGAAAAGTTTGCATCACTATTTGCAGAAGACACGTCCTGAGTTGAGGCAAACAGGTGACTGGTTCTTCAACCATGATACTGTGCTGAGTGTTCAGCAGTTTTTGACCAAAAATGGCATGACCACCATCCCACCCTCCCTATTCACCTGATCTTGCCCTGCGCGACTTTTTGTTTGTTTCCCCAGATGAAAAAGTTCTCAAAGGGAAACATTTTGCCCATGTGGAAAAGGTGAAACCAAAAATGGCAGAAGCACTAAAAGGCATCAGAATTGATGCATTCAAAAACTGTTTTGAGCAGTGAAAAAAACAAATCACTAGGTGTATTGCATCAAGCGGAGAGTACTTTGAAGGTGACTGAAGTTTAAGCATATAAGAATAAATATACTGTCTTTCTCTTGCCACCATCTTGGAGCCTGCGGAGGCCTGCTGGGAACAGGACTCTAAGAGGCAGATATGTCTGGACGGTTGTGATCCAAAGCCATTTTTGCTGGATATAAGCGAGGTCTCCAGAACCAAAGAGAGCACACAGCTCTTCTCAAAATGAAGGTGTTCATGCTTGAGATGAAACTGAATTCTTTTTGGGAAAGAGATATGCTTATGTATATAAAGCAAAGAACAACACGATGACTCCTGGTGGCAAACAAAACAAAGGCCATTGGACACAGAATCCATATAATGCTGTACTTCTCAAGGATTTAAACTAATAGAAAGTAAATAAATAAAAGTGGATTTGTAATAAATAATAAATAAATAATTTTTTATGAATAAGCTCCAGGTTTGTTGGAGTTTCCCCCCTCATACAGAAGACCAAATTACATTATCAACGTGGTAGGTCTTAACTGATATATGACACATTTTGTATCCAGATAATAGAGAAAATATCTTTTTTTCATTTCTCTTGGAATAGTTATTGCAAAAAGTCCAGAAAGATATCATAGAAAAAGTATTCTGTCATCTCAATGCAAACTAGAAATCAATAACAAATCAGAAGAAAAGAGTTTATTCAATTGAACATTAAAAACTTTGAGCCAGGCATGGTAGCTCATGCCTGTAAAATCCCAATGCTTTGCATGGCAGAAGTGAGAGGATTGCCTGAGCTCAAAGATTCAATATGAGCCTGGGCAACTTGACAAGACCTCATCTCTATAGTTTAAAAAATAAAAATAAAAAACAAAAATTAGCCGGGCATGGTTCTTTACGTTCCTGCTTCCCTGCTTTCTTTCATGAAAAAAAGAGAGATTTACCCACAGAGCACACTGCCAATCTTTTTGAAATCTTTTTCAGTTTAACGTTAATCTGTATTTCTCTTATAAGTGAGAAGAGACTATCTCATTATATATTTGAAAGCCGCTATAATTATTGTATGAATCTTTTGTTTATGTATTTTGCAAGAAATGTACTCTTTTGTTTGTATGAATGAGATGCTGTAACAGTAGCATACTTCCAGGGTGTTCACGTGCCCAATCCACGTACAATTCAACTGCAATGGATAGTCTAAGATTTTTGGACCTTCTAGTCGCAGCTGCCTTCTTCCTCAGGGTTGTAACTCTAGCTTGTTTAATTACCTCTCACATACCCCCATGGGCTAGTGGGTAGAATAGACTGCTAGTCCAAACACATTTACCCTAGATTAATTACACAGAAGTTATTACATCCTTGTCTTTCTCCTGTAAGTGTACTCTGGAGGAAATAGGTGATCAAGACCATTTGTGATGTCATGATTATTTAGTTTACTGATTAAGTTGAAGGTTTCTTGCTCTACAGTCAACACTTGTTTGAAAACTGTTTCACTGCTAATTCCAAATGGCTTAAGGTAGAAAAGGTGACCGCAGCAGTGGCCATAGTGGCCCTAAATAGGCTGGGGTAGCCAGGTTGCCAGCATGGATCCAAGAGTTCTACTCATCAATGGAGTGATCAGTCTGTGCCGGTGCCCACAAAGGACAGACCCTTATTGCTCTTTCAGTTTTTCCAGGCATTCCTTGCCTGTTTTCCACATTAATTTTAGACTTGTCAAGAATCAGGGGGAAAAAAATTCAGTATTTTTATTAGGTTCTGAACACTTATAAATTAACTTAGAATTGATTTATTTGTAATGAAATCTTCCAATTTTCTTATGTCTCACTTTCTCTCAATTTTCGTATATCTAGGATATTTCTCTTGACTAATAATGTTGATTAGTAGCTCTTATACAATAATAAGTTACAGTGATAAAGATGAGCCTTACTATCTTGTTCTTGATTTTAGTAAATATGTTTGCAGTATGTCTCTTTAATAAGGAGTTTTAAAGCCAAGATAAACACCATTACACATGCACACAACTTTTAGTCATATTAAATATGTCAATTAAAATATCATAAATGTCAAGTTAAATATCAATCCCCTCTTAGTTTTTTTTAGCATCAGAAATTGTCCTAAATTTTGTAAAATGCTTTTACAGCATTTACTGATATAATAAAATTTTACCACTTAGAATTAGATATTAATTATATGATTTGATTTCCTAATGGTGAACCATTCTTGTATTCCTCAAATAAATCTCATTTGATTATCATACAGAAGAATTTAAATCAACTAGTTTTACTATTTTTGTCTTTTATCTCAGTTACCTATATTCCTTTGGTTTTCTTTACTATTTTTTTAACCTTTTAAGTCCTATATTTATTTATTTTTATCTTTTTATTTTTTATTGATGTTAAGATTTAAGACTTTTCTCTGAATATTGTTTTGTGTCCCAAAGATACTAATATTTTGTGTTTTCAAATGTTGATATCAAGAGATACTACAATCTTGATATTCATTTTCCCATTTACTCAAGAGTAAATAAAATTTTTTTGTTTATAATTCTTATTTCTTATTTAAGAAAGATCACATTAAATCATATACTCAGCTTAATTTGCCAGGTTTTAAGGCCATTCTTCTGAGGTGGAGAAGAATTTGTGAGAACCTATCTCCAACAGACATACCTCTTATGTCTGACAGTGTTCACTGAGTTCAATCTATTACCTGTTTTTTGAGCATCTTCTTTTTTCAAGGCACTGTGATTGACATTAACAGTCTTGAGGGAATTAACAATTTAATATGGATCTGTGCTTGATGTACTTTCTACTTAAAATTGAAATGCACTAAAACAGAAATGAGTGAGGTGTTGGAAGGGTGTATGAAGGTTCAGTGTGAGTTTGGGAGGAAATGGCAATATGAATTCACTAGGCATCTGTAGATTTTGAATCTGGAGTGCAAATTTCTTCAAATAAGTTACTATTTGATAGGCAGGCACAGAAGTAGCTAAAGATAAACAAAAATTTTATCTATTATATTAAGGTTTAATTTCTTGCCAGTATTCTGTGTAAAACAAGTGGAAATATTTTCTGTCCTGTTACAAATTAAATTCCTCCTCCTCCCTCTCCATATGTAACTTACCTATCATGTTACATGATAATCATACAGAAAAACTTCACCTTTGTCAAACTTTCTCTGAATCTCTTCTCTTTAGTTGCTTTATCTGCCTTTTCAGAGTAATATATATAAATCTCTATTATGTGACTAGTCATATGATGCTGTTCAAATGTACCAGTTATTGTTTTTTCTCCTAAACTGATCTGCCTACCCTGAAAATAGTAACAATGATAGCTTATATTTGTGAGTACTTTGTAGGTGACGAGGCATAAATACTAGTAAATAACTAAATTATGCATATATAATTTAGTTATTTATTGAGTCAAAGTCTCACCCTGTCCAATTATTCTAAACTGCCTTTCATTGAAGAGTGAAATGACAGTTAATAGTGGCATAGTCACAGCTCACCGCAGCCTCAGCCTCCTGTGTAGCTGGGTCTACAAGGCATGCAGCACCAAGCTTGACTAGTTTTTTGTAGAGATGAGGTCTCGTCATGTTGCCCAGGATGGTCTTGAATTTCTCAAGCAATCCTCCCTCCTTGGCCTCCCAAAATGCTGAGATTGCAGGCATGAGCCACTGTACCTTGCCTGTATTTAAACTACAATAAACTTACTGTATTTAAACTATAGTAAACCTGTGAGATAGATATAAGTATTTCCATTTTACAGATGAGGAAATTGAAGATTAGGAAAGCTAATTGAATTTGCCCAAATCTTAAAGCTAGTAAGTAGTAAAATCAGGATTAAACCATTTCTGATACACTGTGATCTTGACAGCTATGTTGTAGCAAGAACATTCCTTTTTTACTTTTTTTTACTGCTCTAGTGTATAGAGTTGTTTCTAGCATGTAGCAGGTCCTCAGGAAATGTTTACTGAATGATAGACAGTAAAAATTCAAATAAAGCTTTTTTTTTTTTTTTTTGAGTTGAAGTCTCCCTCTGTCACCCACGCTAGAGTGCAGTGGCATGCTCGCAGCCACCTCAGTGTCAACCTGCTGGGTTCAGACGATCCTTCCACCTTAGCCTTCCAAGCTGCCGGAACTACAGACGCATGCTATCACACCCAGCTAATTTTTCGATTTATTGTAGAGATGAGGTCTCGCCAAGTTTCAGAGACTGTTCTCGAACCCATGGGCTCAGGCAATCCCTTCACCTCGGCCTCCCTATGTGCTGGGATTACAGGCTTGAGCCACCACGCCCGGCCCAAATACAGCTTTAGTGAAAACTTTTATGAATTTAGAGTGAGCTCCAAATATTTAAGCATACACCAAAATTTTACTCCTGGAGTTATTGCCTCAAGGAATAGGAACGTGCCAACCATAAAATTGTGTGTGTGTACATACACAATATAAAGTATAGTAAATAAGTAATAATTGAAGCATTAGAATTTTATTATCAGAATATTCAGATATTTAATTCTATCTCTGACCTATCTTAAGATTCCCATCACTGATCAGGAATGGGAGAACTGTTGCCTGTAGGTCAAATCTGGCCTGCTACCTTTTTTTAATAAATAAAAGCTTTATTTTTTATTAATATTGTCATGCCCATTTGTTTTCATATTGTCTAAGGCTGTTTTTGTACTACAGAGGAAAAGTTGAATAGTCTCGAAACTGTATGACCTGTAAAGCCTAAAATATGTACTCTCAGATGCTTCATAGAAATAGTTTTGTAAACCCTGATGTAGATCACTGTTGTCATATTACTTGGTTAACTATTATTTTGCTCCATTTCAAGGATCTTCAAGATGAATTTGGAATTGAGCCAGGTGATGCTCGTCTATTTATAAATGGCCTTCTTATTGATACGAATCTTTATGATCCTTTTAGGTAAGTATTAACTTATTGATATAAACTATGGTTTATATAAAGGTAAGTATTATCCTGAACTTAGTATTTGTCAAAATGCAAAGAATCAGTTTAAAGATTAACCAAATGCATATATTTGATTGTGCAAAACAACTCTGTTCTACCAAAAAGAGCAAGGTCAAAGTATCTTATAATATTAGAACTGGTAGAAACTGTAGAGATATTTATTCAGATGAGTGTTATACCTATACTTAGCCCATTATTCTAAACTATCTTTCATTGAACAGTGAAATGATGATTGATAATTTAGCAGAGAAGTTTTTTTGCACCCCTATAGACCCCTGTCGTTCTACTGAATATTTCTTACAATTTTAAGTCAAAAGGGGCTTTTCTGTTTATTTTGTTGAGTCTTTGTGTTTCCGGGTGGAGCACAGCACAACACTTGCAAATTCTTTGACTTGCTACTGAAAGGAATTTCAGAGCAGCCAGTATAGTTTTTTGCTTTTGACAAAAACGTGATATAGCTACACAATAATAATCATGCTAAAGAGGGTGGGCCACAGGTATCTGTTCCTGAGAGATTACCATCTCTCCAACTCTGATGAACTAAGGGGTGACCTTTTCTCGGAACATGCAATTTGTCTTTGACAGGAGACTTGATAGACTTTTAATGATTATTATGTTAAACCATGAGCTGAAAAGTGGGCTGATTAGCATTTTTATACCTTTGATAACCTAAGGTATATAAGCTAAGGCTTGAGCCTTTACCTTCAGTAGAGAACTAGGTAGACTGTTAGTGATTATTGTGTTAAACCATGAACTGAAAGGTTGAACTGTACCATTTCTCCACCTTGATGGGCTTTTCTTTGATGAGCTGAGGTGTAGGGTGAATTGACAAGTCCACATTCTAGCCTGCAGAGTGGCCAGGCCTATAGAAAAGATGTCTGAATGCTTCCCTGGTTTAAAACTTAAAACTGCCTACAAGAAATGTATCTGTGTCTAACCTACACTAAACCCTGCCTCACTTGGACCTAATCCTAATATATAGGATAAGTACTGCACATAGAAAGAGTAGAGAAGTACCGGGCACAATGGCTCATGCCTCTAATCCCAGCACTTTTGGAGGCCAAGGTGAGAGGATTGCCTGAGCCCACAGGTTTGAGACCAGCCTGGGCAACTTGGCAAGACCTCATCTCTACAAAATCAAAAAATTAGCTATACGTGGTAGTGCACACCTGTAGTCCAACTACTTGGAAGACTGAGGTGGAAGGATCACCTGAGCCCAGCAGGTCGAGGTTGCCAGTGGCCATGAGCGTGCCACTGCACTCTTGCCTGGGCGACAGACTGAGATTCTGACTCAAAAAAAAGAAAAAAAGAGTAGAGAAGTTTTTAGATCTTTTTTTTTCCTCTTTTAATTTTTATTTTAAAATTGTGGGGTAAAATTCAGAGCTAGGTATACAAATATTCACCATGCAGATACCCTTATTTATGAGTTGTACCCCTATAAATTTCAGGGGACAAAATTACATCTGTGCTCAGGAACAGTGAAAACTGGTTTAAAAGAAGTAGTGAAATGGTATGTAGGTTTTAGAAAGTATTCTATGACAATGTATGGGGAAGTTTTTATGGCAGGAACATTTTCATGTATGATTTAGAAAGATCAGGTTATTCAAGAATTATCTACCTAGTAATTAGTCATCTGCAGGCTGTGTGCTACTTTTTGTTTCTCACTGGTATTGATGCCAAGTGGGGTATGGTGTGATGCTCCATGAGTTCTTGATTTCACCACAGAAAAGAGTGTCAGAGCAAATCCAAAGCATAGTTTAAGAAAGAATCTATTAGAAATAAAGTAGGGCATGGGTGAATTAAAAGAAAGAGCATGTCCTTGCCTTTAGACAGGAAGCTTTATATAATTTTACAACAATGATTAAGCAAACTGTGAGCTAAGAGGAGTGGGCTGCGGGTATCTGGTCATGAGTTTTGATTATTATCACTCAACCTTCTAAGGTCACAAGGACCTTTAAGTAATGAAAGCTGTTGCCTAACTAGATTTGTAGGGGGGTTTTGTTTTGTTTTGTTTTTAAGAGCATCATGATGTCTATGTTTTGGGTAACTCACTATTGTTTCTGTGATTTACTGCACTAGTAGATCCACATTTCAGCCCGCAAGGTGGTCGGGTCTGGTATGCTGGTCAGTCAAGTGAAGGTTGTGTACTGATTAGAAAGATGTCTGAATGCTTATCCTATTTTAACTTAGACCTGCCTACAAGAAAAATAGATCTATGTCTAAACTACTCTGGCTAAACTGCCTCAGTATGATCACTAGTTATGGCTACTATGATACCCGTAAAAGAAAAAGAAAAGTCTATGTGAAAATATTTATTTCTTTTGACATTTTGAGGACAGCATCATCAAAGAGGTTCTCAGAAAATTATTAGAGGATGTGGGGGAAAAATCAATGTAAAGAGGCAGATGAATGGAAGAAAGTAATAGGGAAAGTTTCATATTATAGAGACATTGTAGAGAGAGAGGTCTTATGCAACCAGTACTTTGGAATTGTCCATTTGGGGAAAGAAAGGGAGTGAAGAATTATTTTGCTACCTTCCCATCTCACTGCATGGAGAAAACAGTACAATGCTCCATATATGACCTAGCTCTTCTTCCTCAGATGCCTCCGTGGATCAGTGTCAGGACAACATTTGTTCAATACAGATCTAGATATCACTCCTAGGGAGGCTAAGACAGTAGGAGCATGTGGCAATGACTAGGTGGAAAGGCAGGTAGGACTGATGAAACACATAAACAGGGTCCATATATCTACATTAGAGTATTCTGTCCCTCAAAGAGTACCTTATAGATATTTTTTTTCTGAATAGTCCTCTCAACTACAGACTTGATAAAGGGTAGATTAAAGATTCTAATTCCCAAATTTTTTGTCAGTGGGGTTATATACTATTGGTACTGTTTACAGTAATATTTTCTATGATATTTAAGAACTATCAAGTTATTATATGTAATGAATGGTAATTTGTATTCTAAACACATGCTTTAGTGGGGTTTCCTCTGTACTAAAATATATTTTATGTCATGTTTGATCTTATGCTATTTTTGTAGTAGGTTTATCAAAAGAGTGACCTAATGTATTTTTTCCTCACTTTTGGCTTGCTCTGGGCTGATCATAGCCTCACTACTCTGATAAAGAATGCAGTATCCTTTGTTGTCTTATCTTTTAAATAATACTTTATTACCACTAAAAAAAATCATATAAGTTTACCCTGGATAACTAGTTAGAAGAACGATTTGTCTTGTTTGTTAATGAATTTAATAATATGTTTTCTGGCTTTTAATGAAAATACCAGAAAGTTTTTTCTAATGCCTTAAGAAGTCTATCAAACTTTAAAAGATTTTTTTTTAATTTGGCAAATCAAAATAAAACTTATTTATTTTCTTTGAACATAAGTATTCTGGATATGTTGAAATTAGAAGGAAAAATGATGAATGGCCTTCACAATCTTGGGATCAATGGAGAAGATATGAGCAAATTTTTAAAATTAAATTCACCTGTTTGGAAAGATACTTACATATTGGATATTCGGCATTCTTCTATAATGGTAAGTGGTCATGTTATTCCTTATTCTAAAACTTTCAGTGTATTTAAGGTTTAATATAAAACCAAATAACAGCAGGCCTAACAATAAATTTAAACATTTTGGAAAAGTTCTCAGTGAAAAGAAAAAAAAAGTACAGAATCTTCTTCACCTTACAGCTTCTTTCCCCTTCCGCATAATCTCTGTATTTTTTCACAAGAATACCTACTCACTCTCATTCAGTATTCTTTCCAACTTTAAAGATAAAAACAAAATAGCAAGAACAATAGAATAACCGCATGAAGAAAAGCAACCACAAACCATCAGATATGTAGTTAAATCTGAGGTATATAAAAATACTACCTTGATGTGATGAAAGTCTTGCCTGAACAACTTGCAGTGGCCTCCTGATATTCTGGTCTGCGTATTATAGGCTGAGTGACTTTTCCCCCACCAGATCTGATCCTATCCCTCCCTTGCTTAAGCACAGAAGTGGTCTTTAGTATGGCCTATAAGCCTACAAATGTCCTGCTCTCATCTTTGATTTCTTAGACTGTAAAATAATATTTCCGTCATGCTCTTTTATCTCTTGCTTGAAAAGCACTTTTTCCTTTCTCTATCCAGTAATTCCTATTCTTTTTTCAGACTTCAGTTCAAAAATTTCTTTCTGAGAGAAGCTTTCCTTAAGAATTCAGATTAGATTATTTTTTTTTTCGTATATATGCACATTGTGTCATAGAGTCCCCGTGACCATCTTCTGGTTCAGCAATTTGCTAGAACTACTTGCATGACCCAGAAGTTGTGATAGTCATGGTTATGTTTAGAGCAAAAGAATACACAGCAAAAACAGCAGGTGTGAAGTCTAAAAGAAACCCGGTGAAAGCTCTCAAGAGTTTCCTTCTAGTAGCATTATATAAGATGTGCTTGCTAAATTTGACATGTGACAATAGGTGCAAAGTGCTTGTTGCCGGGGAAGCTCCTTTGAGCATGAAGTTCAGGGTTGTGAAAGGTGGTCAGTTATATAGACATACACTGGCTCTCTGTACCTGCCTTCAGTCCCTGAAACTTCGGACTGTCAGAAGAAAAGCATGTGTTATTATAAATCACATTGTGCAGCGTGGCTCAGGACCCAAGTGTGCAAAAGATTCTTATCAATAAGAACATTGCAAGAGCTTAATTCCCAAGGAGCCAGCCAAGCCAGTCATGAAAACAGGCCCTGTTTTTTGTTTTTTGGGGTTTTTTTGGCTGAGGATTGTTTTGGCTATTCGTGGCCATTTATGTTTCCATATGAATTCCTGTATTGTTGTTTCTAGGTCTGAAAAGAATATTGATGGTAATTTGATGGGAATTGCGTTAAATCTGTAGATTACCTTTGATAGAATGGACATCTTAACAATGTTGATTCTTCCAATTCCTGAATATTTTTCCACTTATTTGTGTCAATGTTTGATTTCTTTGAGCAGTGTTTTGTAGTTTTCACTGTAAAGGCCTTTCACGACTCTGGTTAGGAAGATGCCAAGGTATTTCTTTTTTTTTTTTTTTTTTTTGTGGCTATTGTGAATGGAATTGTGCTTTTTATTTGGGTTTCTGTTTGTTTATTATTGGTGTATAGAAATGCAATTGTCTTTTGCACATTCATTTTATATCCTGAGACTTTGCCAAAATCCTTTATTAGTGCAAGGAGGTTTTTGACAGATTCTCTTGGGTTTTCGAGGTATAGAATCATGTCATCTGCAAAGAGGGATAACTTGATTTCCTCTTTTCCTATTTGGATACCCCTGATCGCCTTCTCTTCTTTGATTGTTCTAGCTAGAACTTTAAAACTATGTTGAACAGGAGGGGTGAGAGTGGGCATCCTTGTCTTGTTCCAGTTTTCAGGGGAAATGTTTCCAATTTCTGTCTGTTTAGCAGTATGCTGGCTGTGGGTTTCTCGTAGATGGCTCTAACTATTTTGAGGTATGTTCCGTCTATGCCTAGATGCTCGAGAGTTTTTATCAAAAAAGGGTGCTGGATTTTATCAAAAGCTTCTTCTGCATCTAATGATATAATCATGTGGTTTTTGTTTTTATGTCTGTTGATGCATTTAATTAAGTTTATGGTCTTACTAATGTTGAACCAGCCTTGAGTCCCAGGGCTGAAGCCTACTTGGTCGTGGTGGATGGTTTTTGAGATTGGCTATTGAATCCGGTTCGCTAGGATCTTGTGGAGAATTTTAGCATCTATGTTCATCAAGGATATTGGACTGTAGTTCTTTTTCTTTGTTGAATCTTTACCTGTCTTGGTTATCAATGTGATGTTAGCTTCATAAAATGATTGGGGGGAGTTCCATGCTCCCAGACTTTAAACTTTATTATAAAGCTGCAATAATCAAAACAGCTGTCTCTGGTGGTCTAAATCTCTTGTTAGAGTTGGGAAGTTTTAAATCTGTTGTTTCATAAAGTAGGTTTTGTTTTTTTTTTAACACTTTTGTTTACTATTTGCCTCTGGAAGATCAAAAAATTGAATATTTGTTGCTTCATAGTGTCCCATATGTCACGTAGACTTTGCTCGTTCTCTTTTATTTTGTTTTTGTCTGACTGGGTTATTTGAAAAGTCCTGTCTTCAAGTTCTGAAATTCTTCTCCTGATCTAGTCTATTATTGAAGTTTTTCAATGTATTTTCTGTTTCCTCCCATGGATTCTTCAGTTCTTGAATTTGTTTGGTTCTTTTTATGATATCTCTGTCTTTGGTAAATTTCTCATCCATATTCTGATTTTTTTTCTGATTTCTTTGTGTTGTTTTTTAGTATTATCTTGAATTTTACTGAGCTTGTTTAACATCAATATTTTGTGGTTAGGGGGGTTTTTTTAGATTAGAAAATATAGTTTATTTAATAGTAAATTAGAGAGAAAGAGAAGTTTCACCTACCCAGGGTGGGGAAGGGGGCCAAAGCCAGGAAGCATGGTGATAGCCATAGCTCAAAGAGCCCATGGCCACACCAGAATCTAGCTAGGCAGTGGCCTAATAACAATATTTTGAATTATTTTTCTTGAATTTTATTAATTTCTTTTTATTAGGATCTGTTACTGGGTAATTATTGTGTTTCTTGGGTGTGTTATATTTCCTTGGTTTTTTAGTTCCTGTGTCCTTACATTGATAGCTATGCATTTGGTATAATAGTGGCATCTTCCAATTCTTTGAACTTTAATTCATAGGAGAGGACTTTTTGTGGAGATGAATCTATGGTGTTGCTTGGGTAGGACACTTTGACTTTGATTTGGGGTGTGTGCAGTAGGGTAGTCTCTGTATGATTTCTTTGGCTGTAAACAGTGTCAGTGCTGTTTGTGATTTCTTTGATGGCTTATAGTACAGTTGTTAGTGGAGGCTGGGATGAAGTTTTACTGAGATGTGGGACTGCAGGTGGGCCAGGCTTAGGGCCCCACTGGTGGCAGGGGTGGGGTGAGTGTGTGTGTTCTTTGGCCCCAGGGTGGTATATATTGGCACCAGTGTTAGCGGGTCCAGACAGGACGATTCTTGGGCCTCCAAGTGATTTGCCTGGGTACCAGGATGGCAGCAGTGGGCTAGACCTGTGGTTGGGATTTGGAGCCTGTGAGCAGTGTGCATGGCCTGAGCAATGGCAGTAGCAGTGGTGGGACAACCCTCTGGGACCCAAGCTGTCCTCACTGGTTTTGGCGGTGGTTGTGACAGGTTAGGCAGACCAATCCCCAGGCCCACAGGTGGTTCTTGTGGTGAGGCACCAGCTGCGGTGGTAATGGCAAGTTGGGTGGACCCAACTTCAGACTCTGGGAGTTGTGTGCTCAGGTGCCAACAGTTGTGGACTGAGCTGGGTGAGCCGTAGGCCTCTAGACTGCATGCTCAGTACTAGGGATGAGGAGGAAGCTGGACTTGGTGGGCCTGTCCTTAGGCCCTCTGTTTGTGAGTTCTGGCTCTGGTTTTGATCAGCTTGGACAGGGTGATCCCCTAGGCCGCAGGCATAGTACTCAGGTTGGGGTGGCAGCAACTGTGCTGCTGCCCCAATACTGGGAAGGGCGGGGTTGCTTTTAGTGGGAATAACTGTAGGCAAGGGGATGCATACTTTGCCCACACCTTGTCCTCATTGCAGCCTGTGCTGACGGCAGCTGCAAACAACGGAATTTGTCTTCAGGGTACATGAAAATGCACTGTTGCCCTTCTGCTAGGGAGAGGAGGTGGCTGCCACCTTGGCCCTAGGGGCAGCAGCCATGGGCAGTTAATTCCAGGGATATGGAGCTGCAGGGACTGTTGGGCCCCAGGACAGGTCAGTCTCCATCAGTCTGATGGGGCTGAGCTGTCAAAATGGTGCCGTGCCACAGCTACTAAGACTTTGGGAGTTTGTGGGACTCAGCATGAGCTCCCTCCCTGGATCAGTGCCACTGTATAATCTCCAGGCAGCTCCCTATGTTAGTCTCGGGGTCCATGAGGGTTGAGGGGCTTTCTCATGGCAAGGATGGCAATAGTCTGTGGTGGGAATGTGGACTGGAGGTCTCTCACTTACACTTTTCCACATTAAGGAGCCTCTCTAGGCTTCCTGCCAAACCTGGCTGAGCAGGCTGCCTGGATTCCCTCTCCTTTCTTGCTTCTAGTGCTTCCTGTCAGTTCTCTTTTGAATTCTGGTGTTCTCTCTTAGATGATCTATTCAAGATGCGATTATCTGCACACTGTTTTCTTTTCTCTCTGTGGAAAAGGCAAATAGCAGATGCGCTTAGTCAGGCATCTTGAAGCCCCTCCCACAAAAAGGGGAGGCTGTATGAAAAAAACCTGCCTGAACTTTTCTGATTGTTTCTTATAAAAATTTAGGCAATTCCCTCCAAAATATGTCAGGTATTACAGTTACTTTTATCTTACCTGAACAACCTTTCTACTTATAGATTTAATCTATTTCCTCAGAGTCAGGACTGTAGCAGCCCCAAGGAAATGCCTTATTCCTTAAACATCAGAGACCTTAGACTCAGAAAAAATAACATATTATTAATTAGTTACCATTTGTATCTTCTAGACCACTTTGT